TCTTCCTATTCAAGTGGTTGCTAGTTCTCGAGAGTCACCTCCAGAAGACAGGGGAAACGCAATTACAGAAAATAGCGATATCTTTGTCAAAAACCAGCAAGCAATTAAATCTCCCCTACACATGGAAACATGTATTAAAGCTAATTATTGTACATCGGTCAATGTAATTGCAACTCAAATGCAGCATGGTCCACATAATTAGTTGGCACTAATGGAAACCTCACAATGCAACAAATGTACTAAAACACTCTGCATCGAGAGTATTTCCTTGCAGTACCAGGAAGTCAGGCTACTTCTGTTGTCAAATTTAAGGAGCACTTTGCCAGAGAGAAGATGGGTAGATATCCCCTCCCACCTCCCCCAACAGCAACATCTGAAGTTACTGAGGTCCTCACACCTAAAGGAAGCTGCCCGGGACCTGCTGCTAGAGGCTGCAGCACAAGCTACTCTCAATATCTTGATTTGGGCACATCGGGTTACGAACAAGGCTATCAAAGCTGATACAAACCAAAATATTTTGTTTTCCCTTTTGCTATTCTTGTTAGCTTAGCTTCCTTTTGTTCAGTTAGGTATAACCCTCACTGTTGAGAAACTGCTTATGCAACCCGAGATACTCTCAGAGAGGGCACGACAACACTTTTCAGCCTTCAGCTGGCTAGTGGGTCAGTTCCACTTCGATTTATACCGCTTGGTGATGCTCAGAGACACTCTGCCAAAGCGGGAACAGCAGGAAGATGAAGGAAGATTTGCGGCTGCAGTGAGTCCCGTCAGGACACCCAGGGCATTTATTAACTCCTCGGGCAATGAGAAGACAGTGGTAGAATTTAACAACCATCTCTGCTGAGCCTGGTACCTTCTACAGCATGAGAAGAACCACATGCTTATAAAAGAGCACAGTACAAAGCCCAAAATCTTGGGCAGAAAACAAACTATTTTGTTGCAAGTTTCACAGAATCAGAAATAGTTAATTATTAAAGTGATTTTACCCCTCCTGCCAGGTGTATTTCTCCAAGGAAAAAAAAAACTAGTTTCACCTTCTGTGAAGGACACTGTGAAAGACCAGTTTGATTGCAATGGCAGATCTTTCTCCAATGACAGAGGAGTCGTACTAGGCTGGGCGCAGCACGTAACAGTGCTCAGCTGGGCAAATAAAGGCCAGCACATACCTGGTGTCATCTCAGTGACCATCAGATGTATGCTACCCTACAAGCCAAGTCTGCAAGCAAACAGCACGAGAGAAATTTTATAGAAATGCTGAATTTACCAGAAAAATTCTTTGTTAGGCAAGTTTTCCTCAGAACAAATGGCCAACACTCTCCTTTGTAAAGGCTGATTATTTGCAGGCTCCAAGAGCTGTAATTCAGTTTAACATTTTGTCTGGTTTTGGTTTAGTTGCAGATACCTGCCGAGTTTCTCAGTGGTTTTGAGCTTGTAATCCAACATCACTGCTTATCCACCAGTAATATGCTCTAGCCTAACAAATGAGTGGTTTAACACACATTTAGGGTCTTATTTCAAGTAGGTACAAATTAACCAAACCACCTTTTTGCCATCTGCTTGGAGAAACAAATTCCCACATTAAGGTAATAAAATATGGTGATGTGACATTTCCAGGGTAGTTAGAGAAAGGCGTGTTTGGGCACAGCCCCCGAAACACAGCCTGTCTCACCTCCACAGGGAAACAACACAAAGTACACTGAGCTTGTGGAAATTTCCAAACAGAAGCTGGTCCTTTGGAGAAAAAAAAAAAAAAAAAAAAAAATGCTGGGGAAGTGGCTCTGGATGTGCCAATCTAGACGCTATCACGATCATAAAACACGGAGGAGGAAGGGAAAGCTTATGCATCTGTTTCCAGCAAGGGAACTAGGTCACTCGAGAAGCAATTAGCAGGCTGTGATGATCTCCTTCCACCCAGCCATGGTGCATCAGATCCCAGAAGCACCAGGATGGTCACAGGACTGAAAACGCACCCCACCCCCCCACTTGTATGAGAGGAGCTCAGAACAACCGTCTGAAATGAGTTTTTCAGATGCTGCTAGTTAAAAGTTAGCTGAAGGCTGCATTAACACAAAGCAGAAACATAAACCAAAAAAGCTGAAAGCTCCTCCGCAGTCTGAAGGCCACCCGTGTTTTACTGGGGTCTGACAGAGCTGATCTTCAACTTCAGCAGGTGTGCCACAGATGTACAGACCTGGTTATTTAAGTATATGATAGATCAAGCAACCTATAAAGACTTCATCCTAATTATTACAGCTGAACAGTTACCACTGAAGCACAAGTAGAATAAGAAACCATCCCAGAATGATTACAGAAAAAGCTAATTTAACAGCCAGCTCTGGAAACATTAACTGAGGTTATCAGCAAAGATGAGAAGACTTCAGAGAAGGGCATCAGCCTCCAAAAATAATCTAGAAGGCCCCTGCTGCTCTGGAAATGGAATATTCACCTGGAGATGTTACATGAAAGACAGACTGATGGAAAACTCAAAGACATGACCTGGTATCCATGGGCATATTTACCACGAGGGTGCAGGCAGCAGGTTGCTCCTGCCTGTAGTAACCTGACACCTCTAGTAGCAAGTGAGACACAGGCAAAATACTGTTTTCCCCAATGTTCTAAAAGTTTCTTTAAGAAGCTGTACCTGCACAGCCCCCACACCCTACACTGCCAGGAACAGACTATTCTCCTAAAATTTCTGAGCAACAGCTGTTCAATATTCAAGCATACAAATAAAATTAATACTAACCTATTTTCTTTGGATGCTACAGGCATAATCTAGAAATTCAATGCATTCATTCTTTATTCTCTTCCAAACCCACTGACAGCCTATAAATTATTACTTCATATTGCAGGCCATCCAGAGGCTCCAGCCAGGGTCAAAGCAACACACTAGAAGAGAGACACTGGCTCCAGAAAGCTTCTCAGTCCTGGTCTATCCAAACACCCTTTTAGCAGATGCTAAACCGCTCCCTGTTTGTATAAAATAAACTGTTCAGTCTATGTCAACAGCTTCTCTGCTGCTGTTCCCCCTGGCAGATTAATTATTAGTCCACCCAGATCTTCGCCTTCACCATATTAAATGATGCAATGCCATTTAAAACATATTAAATACAGCAATATACCAAACTTGAAAATCTGAATAATTCATGAAGGTAAAAAAAAAAGATCTACACAAACCTAGGAAATTCTGCAAACATCATTCTTTCATCTACCACCTTCCCCTGTATTTTTTTAAACCAATACTGAACTTGGGGGCAATTAATATCCAATACAGTTCTAACAGCAGCAAAATAATTTTTAGCATCTCCTTCAAACCACTGTTTCATACCATCCATCACTTACAGGAAAACACGATCAAGACAGGAGTCTATGAATAACTCTGCTTCTTCTCCAGGATTCAATCTAGACTGCTTCTAAATATGTACAATGCCTAGACTACATTAACACATTAAAGCTTTGTAGATTGCCATCAGTGTTTCTGTGGCTTAATTTCATCTGTCCCTCACAATTCAGATCTTCAACTACTTTCATCCTAAAGAAAAAAAAAAATCACTTCACTTTAAATATAAAAACTCATGATGCTCACATAAGCAGATTGCTAAGCATGTTTAAGAGGATATATATTTAAAACCTGGCAGCAAAACTTTATTCCCCTACTAAACAGGAGTATTCTCTTGGATTCTATTGCCTCAATGTTAATAAAAAGCATATTCTACGATCAGTTGAGCTTGAAAAAGTCTGGGAAGGATGATGAGTTTGACAAGTCAAACAATTCAGGAGTAGACTTGGAGAATACAGCAAGCGATAGAAGGGTGAACATTTTAAGCAACTGATAAAAAACCCACCACAAGGGATTCAGTGTGTTTGTTTTTTACTCCAGCTGCACAAAGGATAGAAAGGCACAGTGCAGTAACACAAAATGGATGCTTTTTTGCAAACACCACCTCAATTTCCAAACGAGTTTGTCCAGTTAAAAATTCTTTTCCTACTTCTGACTGGGGGTTTTAATTGCTAACACAGATGCTCTTTTCTGCTCATTCAAAAGTAATGAGAGAATTTCAAACATTCTGTGCCTGAGACGGTCCTGCTGCACAAAGTAATTGGAAATGACAGATCACATACACCAGTGCAGGCTTGACGTTTGTACATCGAGTTCTGAAATAAACCTCGGCAGATTCACAGAAGTACTCACCCCAAGCTGAACAAATTCAGCAGCAAAGGCCTGAAAAATAAAACTTACCAATTTCAGATTAAGCACACAAGAGCAGCATGTATTAATTATTGGGCAGAAGTTTAAAGTTTCCTTTAATCATTTTGAAATGCTTTGAAATCACTTGTCTGGTATAGCAGCTCCGAAAGAGCTTTTATCTTTCAGCTGTAACACAGGAGGCACACTGGAAACCCCAGACGAGATTGTCTACCTTCCAGTTTTGGCATCTCGTTTTGAATTCAGTTTCTTAAGGTTGTGCACAGCGAAATAAACATTTTCTTCACCAGTCTGTGGTGTAAGTACAAAAAAATAATCACTAAATTTAACATAAGGAGAAACTTCACTTAAAAATTAGTCATGGAAAGCCAAGCATTAGTTTAGTACGTGTATTTTATATAGTAGCTCAAAGCCTCTCTCCAAGTACAACAGGTTAAAAATCCTGCCTCTTCTGTGCTGCCCAGCTCATGCTTACAGCATGGATAATTATATACAACATACAAAAGAAGGTAATTAACATACTTCTCACATAAAAACAAACAGCTAGGCTAATAGCATGCAGACCTGTTCTCACGCATCACCTTACCGGGAATAATTCACCATTGATACTTACAAGCACTCACACTGGAGTAATTTATGGATACCATGGTAACATAACTACAGCTCACCAAGTCTCACCTTTCATGAAATTCATGCAAGTACTACCTCTCTAAAGTGAGATTTTTCCCCATCTCCACCCTATTTCCCCTCTTTCCCACCCAGCATCCTTCAGAAGTGACCGGAGCTCACTTACCGTACAAACGAGGAAAAATAAAAACCTCTGAAAATGAGGTTTTAGGCACGACCAGCCCTTCAGCTGTACAACAAAACCAACCAGCTCATCTCTGCCTGAGCAGCACAAACAAGCTGGAGGAGTCCCCGCGCTAGGCAGCCTGCTTCCCTTCCTCTGGGCAGGCTGCACCCGCTTACTGCCAGGACACCTCCTGTAAACACAGAGCCATATGCCTTCTGCAGCTGCGAGTTATTAAATTGGATGGATGTTAACCATTTAGGCATCGACAGCAGGCTAAACATTTTAAACACATTACAGAAACTCCAGCCCGAGAGTTAACCAAATACAGACATTTAATAGGCAGGGAACAGGGAGAATATGCTCCTTTCTTACCTTAAGCAAAGGGAGGTCTCTGAATTCTAATGCATCTCAGATTTTTCAACTTCAAAAATGTATCAGGTGGTGATTTAAAGTGATTTCCCTCTCTGATTTCCTACAGGGGAGACGTGAAGAGAGAGAAAAAAAAAAAAGGAAAAATTGAAGCACTTAAGGATCTGCAACAGCCATCGGAGTTGAATTTTTTCCCCTCTATCTGTAAAAATCCTCTTATTCAGTCCTGTCTGCTCTTAAGACAGCACTGCTGACGAATTTCAAGGCTCAGCTCTTGACATGCAGAATCACTGAAGGATCAAGAGCATAAATGTCACTTCCTCTAGGCAGCACATCAACTGCAAAGGAGCCTAATCTGCTCTCCCCACCACAATCCTACCCAATTGAAGAGTAAATCCTGACATCTGCCTCATGCAGAGCTTTCATTAAACGTTTCTGAAGAATTCCAATTTAAAGCCCCTATCTAAAGGATCCCAGTTTTAGCTAAACCATTATGTAGTTTGACTTGAGAAACTGCGCAAGTGGAGGAATATAAACTGAAAAGCTAATAAAACAGAAGTCAAAGACTAACCTTGAAACAAATTACAGCTGGCTACATCTGAATGGTAGCAGAGGCTTGGAATTATTAAATGAGCTTCAGAAGAGATTTAACTAACCAAATTCCACTGCAATGCTTTATTTATGGTATGTGTGCTGGGCCCAAAATATTTACTAAGGTTTTTCCATCTCCTTTATTGCTTTTGCATATTTCCTAATCAAATCCAACAGGTACAAACCCTATGGAAGCCAGAAAATAGCTTTGTTTGACAGTATGAAATAACAGTGACCTAACGTTCCTTAAAATAGAAATCAGGTGCCACGAACACAACATCCTAAATACATGCTACACAGGGATTAAACAGAAATCAGGACACCAGCATCAACTTGAAACACCATATAATTAACTCCTAAAATGGCATTTTAATGGTCTCTGCCCTTCCTCAACTTGGCAATAGCGTGTATAATTACTCTCTTATTAGCTCTCTGCATCCTTCCCTTGCATTCCCAATTTAAAATTAAACAAAAACTCTTCTGTTGGAGTTTGCCTTGAAGAAGTCTTGTTTTAAAAGGATTACCCGTCGCTGAAAGAAAACTGGATTCCATAAAAGGAGGCTTATTCATGCACTTGAAGTCTATTTCTTTAGGTATCCAATACACACCTGGATCATTTAAAAATCTATTTGAATTTTTCTTACTGAATTAGCTCAATAAAGTAAATTTTATCACCCATTAAAATTTATGCCAACACAACTTGAGCCTGCACGGTATTTCTTCCTATAATCCTCTTGCTAGAGGCTCAATTTAATAAACAAAGGCAGCTCTAATAATTCAAATCTTACTTTCAAAGATGTGATGTGCCTGTCAGAAGCTTTCTGCAACATAGTCAGTACATTTCTTCAGTCTCTCTCCAAGGCTTTGCATACGTTTAAGCCTGCGTCTTGCCTTTTGAATGCTGATAACTACTGTGTTCCTTTTCTCTCCTTTAAAGGATTAAACGCAACCACAGAGACATTTTTATTAGTGCATCATGCACCATTAAATTGTCAGCTTGTCTTCCACGATTCTCTTTTAAAAAAAATAAATACGTGGCCTTGAAAACATCTTCACAACAAAATACTCATTTTCTTGGCACTTATTTATAAACTGAAGCAAACAAAGCCAGAATCCAACCACCAAAGCACCACATGTATTTTCCTTACAACCAGGTTGCAGAAGACGAGAACCACTCAACACACAACATGTATTTTTAAAGACTGCGCAGTATGTTCACATAACATCGACCAGAAAGCCCTTCGCTTGGCTCCCCAGGAGATTTATTTTTATTATTTAAGAGTTTACCCTACTGCCTTCAAGATGCAAGGCAAGAACTCCCCCATTTAGCGCTCTGGTCATATGGGAACACTCCCAGAGAAGAAATACAAGTTTTTAACAGAAGAAAACTGATATTTTCATCCATGACAGTCCTCCATACACGAAGGATGGTACCAACACATGTGCTAAGTGTCCCATGCTGAGAAGATGACAGTTTAGGATTCCCTGCAGTTACTTCCTACGGACACTCAGGATTTTTAATACCTCCATTATTTTTTGTCAATATTTCTACCTGGGAGTGAACTGCCTCTTTTTCCATAGACTGCAGCTTCCTTCTCTCAAACTCTAACTACCACTGACGGTGCCTAAAATTTCCTTCAACAGGGCTGTGCCTTGGCACGATTTTCAACCAGCCTTGCAGCCCTAACATGAGAAAAAACAGCCAGCGCTACAGAAATTCAGTTCCTGCCCAAATCGAACCCATCTAGAGGCTTCTGCCCATATACATCTTTTGCGTCTCACTACCGAGTTTTCAAAGTAACCAGCATGTTTGACTTCAGAAGGCACAAGACCTATTGACACTTTAGATTTGCACATTCCTTTTGTTTTTCAGTGTGGGCAGCAGAAAAATCCCCACCTCTCTTTATCAAGAATTCTTCTCTAAAATACTGGTAAAATTCCAGAAACTGTTGCGGTCCTGTTCAACACTGATGCAGAGATCAGTGCTGGGTAAAGATCCCTTTGCTCCCCAGTGTCCCCAGCTGGGCAGGACTGGGCAGGTTCGTTACAACAGGTCAGCAGAGAATAAACAAGGAGCATCTCTGCAACAGCTTGGACACAGTCAGGAGAGTCAATCTGGCCAAGTTATGTTCCTGCCTGCTCCTGGCTTGCAGAAAGAACAGCTGCAGAGCCTGGAAATAAACCCAGGAGATTGCCTGAAGGCTGAGCACGAAGCAGCCAAGCAGGTGCATTGCCCCCGTTTCTGTCGCAAGGCAAGAGGCAGCTCATGCCAACAGCTTGCACCGGGGGCTAGACGAGGGCATTGCTCCAACAGCGAAGAAATCCCTGCGGGTACCTTCAGGAGAGGGATGGAGATCCTGACGCAGTCAGACACTCAGCCAGCTCCACAAGGACTGCGGTAGGTGGAGAGTGAGAGGACAGAAACGGAGCAGGAGAAGGCACAAGTGACACTTAATGCTGCCTCGAGAGATGGAGAGCGGCTCTTTTCTGTTCAGAGGAGCCCAAAGCCACGTTGGAAGCAGCAGCTCAACGTGCTGGCTTCTTCAGGAGGCACCTCGGCAGAAAATCAGTTGACTTGCAGGTTGAATTCACATATACACAGATGCACATTTTCCAAGAGCTTTTACGAATACATGCAAAAAATTAAAGATTTCTAACCATTAGAAGATACAAGTTTTTGCTTTCTGGTCCAAGCCATCTGCTTCATTTTAAGCCTTGCTCCACTCAGCTTCACTTCTCCAAACTCAGCTTCGATGCTGAAACAAAGCTTTGTATTCCTTTTGTTATACATCTGAAATTATAGTGATTGCAGCACAGTTTGGTAAGTCATTAATACACGTACTGAGCGATTAGAAGCCTTTGCCTGCAACCTGCAATTTCAGCACAACCACAGCAGTGTTATCAGATAATGTATTAATAACCTGCTGTGTCTAAATACGGCGTTCCAGCAATAGGCATGTGCTGGTTTCAAAACGACAAAACAAATAGCCAAGCACACAGATTTTACACAATCAATTCCAAACTCCCGACTGAAGATGAAATCGTGTTTCTAGATATGAGCTAACACTATAAAACATTGCAGGAATGCAGTACCCTAAACCACAATTAAAACAGCAAGGACTTGCTATGCTTTTATTTACTTTTTTTTCTTAATTAAAAAAAAAAAGGCCTACTTGTAACTGCCCACAGCTTGCCTTAGGGGGTACAGCCTTTCCAGTAGCAGGGTAAGGCTAAACAGCGTTAACTCCAGCTTTTGTACAAAGTTTTAAGATGTTCCCTGGAGGCAACCTCAGATAAAAAAAAAACCAAGACTCTTCCATCTTTAATAGTGAAAGTTTCGACTAGGCAAAGCTAAAAGGGGGAACAGGCTAACGAAAACTAGAGAGCAGACAGGTACTCAGCTTCACCAGGAGGACTTGTAACAGGAGGATTTCATCCTCAGGCTGTCAGGATACACCCCAAAGAGATGGTCCAATCACTGCTCTCATGAATCCACAAAAATAAGATTTCCTCCTCATGCCTATATAGGAGGATTTTATCTCCTTCTATTAAACAGAACACTAAGATCGCATATTTTACTTTGATGATCTATAAAACAGAATTTGTTGTTTCTAAAGCCCAAGATTATCAGGAGAGAAAAAAAAAGAATCTCTGCTTCCAGCTGTTGCACATTTCTGACAGAGCCACGTCTACAGGCACAAGCAGGACCCACAATTCCATCTCTGCGCTGCGTTTTAGCATTTTCCCATCCGAGTCAAGAATCTGCAAGGTTCAAGTTACATCTGACCTGGCCATAAGCCCCCAAGATCTGAAATTTCTGTTCTCATACAGTATCAACGTGGCTCCTCTAAACGCCTCGTGTCCATCCTTTGAGACAGAGATGGATGGTTTTTCTGTAACCTGGGGTTTCTGTCACCTCCCAGCTGCACAGAACGGTGGTATGGACAGTCAGAGCAGCAACCAGGAAGCTGCAACCTGAGCTCTTAGCTAAGATGCCAAAGGCCAGCAAAGACTCCGAGCTCTAAAGTTATGTAACAGCCTGCTAGGAGAGGGCCAGAGAAGAGACACAGGCACAGCAGTCTGCTTTCAGCGTACTGAACACACCAAGTTTCACACAGACATTTGTCATTTATTAAGAGTGCTTTTCAATTTAAATAAGGTGGTTAAAGTGATAGCACCCAATTAACTGCTCAGTAGGAGGACGGCATTAATATTCATGAAACATTCAAAGCAGACGTGGGATTTGTAATTGTCTGAACCCACACACAACATAGCTGCACTAACACTGTACCATTCCCCCCCCCCAAAATATTAAAAAAAAAATAATATTCATTTCAGAAGTTAATTTGGGTTCCATTCTGATTTTTGCCCATTTAAACACCAGTGTTCAGCTTTACTCAACTCTGTTCCTGGTGAGAAGGGAATTTTTGGTCTCATGGAAAGAGGAACCAGCCTGACTCACACCTACGGTGTTAAACCCGACTAACCCAGGCACTGGCTCTTACAGCCAGT